CATTCGATGCAGTTTGGTATTACGACTGGAGAGAAAAGGACTACTACCGTCTCATGATCACGAAGGGAAGAGATCAACTTGTTCTTTCTGTGCAAGGTGCAAAGAGGGTGGCCACCATTGAACGATTTGACAAGCTCATTGGAAACATTGTGCCTGAAGAATCATCACCCGATCTAGACGAACTTCGAAAACTTGTCGATATCAGGACCGGTCACTTCAGTCATACTCATAGATTGTTTCCTGGACATCCGGATTGGAATGATGCAATTTCATTATTGGCAGTCACTCATCACCCTAGCAAAGAGGACCATCGACTATGCCCCGCATGTCTGATGGAGACCCCTGCGCCATTATCGATTTGTGTGATGTGCAAAGGATTTTTGGTGAGTCATGGATGGAGGAAACGAATCAAGATCACCGTGGCTACAGTACCAAAGGCCGAATCACATCATCGAGAAGAAGATCTCAAAGACCATGTCAAGAAAGCATGGGAGGAGGTGAAGATCGATTTGACAGGTGATGATGATGACGACGAGGTGATGCCAGATGATGATGATGTCACCATGAAGAGTCCAGAACAAGAAACTCAACCAGAAGAAGGAGATGATGATCAAGCCTCGAAGAAGGGCGACATCAATGATGAGAAAAGAGACTTCAGAGAACAAGATGAGGTCGACAAATTTCTCAATCAAGAAGGAAAACCGACCGATGAGAACGATGATGAAGAGATAGCGGTCGATGAAATCAACATTGAAGAGTACGAGGCTGGAGAAGCTCGTGATGCAGTGATTGAGTACCCCAAGTGGATGCAGCGGATTGAGTTTGGATCAAAGGTCCTGCCGATCGAACCTTGCACAATTGGAGATGCTCAGCCAGAATTCATCAAGATCCTCCTGTTGCAGATTGGATTACATATCGTCAGGATCTACAGACTATTCCAACGGAACTTCTGTGGAGACATCGAGACGGCATGGAAACATTTTCAACAGAACCAGAAATTCAGGATGGACCTGGACTCAAGGACACCTTACCTGGGCGAGGATGAAAATGGTGAACTCATTGAACCAACTGCACAACAGATGAAAGAGCTCTACAAAGAGATCGGCCGACCAAATCAAAAGGACGACATCGGGGAAGAGGGATTCGTCAATGCATACTATGGGGCAGTGGTACTCAAAAGACTTCTCATATATACCCTTGAATGTGGCTACACGTATGATGACTTGCAAAACATCTTCTTTGATGAGGAGATGGAGAAGCTGTCGAAACGTGACACCACAATGGATGAGATGAGAAAGACCACAGCGGCCCGCGACGCCCTTGACCGACAAGACGTCATGGTCAGAAGAATCATTGCAGGTGCATATAGGGTAAATGCTGTTTATTTCTTCAGGAACGTTGACTTTCAAGACACAATCACACTGAATCCAGTTGACATTGTGTGTGCTCTTCGTCCACCACTTCGAAGAATATCACTTTTACACCTGATCCTTCAGAATGGCCGACAATTGCCACGACCTCTACTCCAAAAGCTATATGATGCGATCGATGACTACAATCACATTAAGCAACGGGAAGATCAACGACCAAGGTGGGGCATCCACTTGTCTGAAGCTCACATACTTGCGATTGCTGATACCCCGACTCCTGCTGATCGTGAACGTGCCAATCCAGCCGCTGGCAAATCGAAAGCAGCCCCGAAAGCTGCACCAGCACTGGGAAGAGTGTCGAAAGCGAAAGCATCATCGTCAGCGACATGGAGAACAGTTGAAACCGCTCCTCCGCCAAAACAAGCTCCAGTGACCCCGCCAAAGAAGGGTGGAAAAGACCAAGGAAAAGGTGGAAAATCTTATTCACACCGTGGCGGAGACTGGAACCAACAGGGATACTATGGATGGGGATATAGATGATTAAGCGATCTGACCTCTGCATAGGTCCTGATTGAACCTGGCGATGCGAGGATGCAATCATTGCTCGAGATTTACCTCTACTTCATTTTGAATGATTTCTGAGAGGACTCTGAGCCGGCTAATTTAGAACCACACATTTTTTTTTGAACATCATTGCATGAGACGCTGAGTTTCTACAGCGGTCTACATCTCAATCGACGAAGGAACGGGAAGGTAAAATTCTAGTTCCTGAGTCATATTTGCGTTTTGATTTTATTTGTAATTCACCTGCTTGAGTGGGATTCCATGCTGGCTACGCCACATCGGATGAACCTCAATGCTAGACACCGACTACGTCGTGTCTACATGCACGTGAACAGAACCTTTATCTTTTGGTAGAGATAGTAGCAAGCCGCCATGTAGATATGAAGTTCTGAAACGGACTTTAGCTCTCCATAATTCAACAAATGAATAGCTGCAAATATAGTGGATCAATTCGAGGGACACTCCTTTGCGCGTAGCCAACAAAGTTGGCTATGCGTGGGGGGTGCGAATAGAGTGTAAGCTACGGACCAATGTACATTATCACATAAGTCACTCTAAGACTCGAAGCCAAAGGGTTGTGACAATCGCCCTTTTGGCTCAAGACCCACTGCAGCAACAGGGAAAAGGAACGCCATGCGGAAGCTGTCGTCGTTGTGAAGCCATCACTGGAACAACAAACATCAACATCAATTACTGGAATATAATCGGACAGGCAATCCCCGATTCGCAATCTATCTATCTATCTATCTCTCTATCTCTCTCTCTCTCTATCTATCTATCTATCTATCTATCTATCTGGCCAGCTATCTATCTGGCCAGCTATCTATCTGGCCAGCCATCTATCTGGCCAGCCATCTATCTGGCCAGCTATCTATCTCTCTATTTATCTATCTATCTATCTATCTCTCTATCTATCTATCTATCTATCTATGTATGTATCTGGCCAGCTATCCATCTGGCCAGCTATCCATCTGGCCAGCTATCCACCTGGCCAGCTATCCACCTGGCCAGCTATCTATCTATCTCTATCTCTATCTCTATCTCTATCTCTCTCTCTCTCTCTCTCTCTCTGTCTGTCTGTCTGTCTGTCTGTCTGTCTGTCTGTCATCTATCTATCTGCAAGCTGGAAAATGAAGCTATTCTGCCAGACTTCCTCAGTTTTTGAACTTGACAACATCAGAAACGCAGCAATTCAGCGAGACTTCCTCCATTTTTGCACTTGACAACATCAAAAACGAAACAGGTCTGCGAGACTTCCTCATTTTCCGAAGTTGACAACATCAAAAACGAAGCAATTCTGCGAGACTTCCTTCAAAAATGGAAAGTTGAGTGCAGAGCTGACGGCCTCGTACCAACGCGTTTTGCGATTTTTCCACTCCACCTGTCTAAAGTACTGCGCCTGCCACGAAAAAGTGATGCCAGGTCATACGAAGTGCTGCACCTGTCACGCAAAATCATCTCAGCGAACCTGAAGATTTGATGCTCCAAAATGCAACCCCTCTCAGGAAATCAGCGCCCTGACCTCCTAACATCTCTGATGAACATGTCTCTTGTACTGCGCCTGCCACGGAAAATGCATCTTTGCAGATCCTCTTCAAATGTCCCACGCCTGCCATCGTTCTTGGAAATGCTACAAAACCCTCACGTTTTGCTCATTTTTGACAAGGTGCGCAATCCCTTGCGCCTGCCACGCGAAACGACATCCGAACGTCCAACAGTGGTCCGAACCCCTGGTGTTTTTGACGCTTTGACTTCGAAATGTGCTTCGCGTCGTGCACTTTTTCGACATCGCAACTTCTACAAGCGCTCCGAAGCTGATGTGTTTTGTACATTTTGACTTCGAGATGTGCTTCGCGCCACAACGGCGTGCACTTTTTTGACATCCCAACTTCCAAAAGTGCTCCGAACCCGTCAGTTTTCTACAGTTTTGACTTGGAAATGTGCTTCGCGCCACAACGGCGTGCAATTTTTCATCTTTCAGCTGGCCAGCTGGATCCGCACCCGCCGCTTTAGCGAGCCTACTTTTTTCGACTCTCCGGACCCACAAATCATTGGAAAAGCAAGAGTGTTTTGTGACTTTCCTACCTTTTCGCGCACCTGGATCTTCTTTCTTCTGAGACTTTCTCTTTTTTGATCTTCTTTCTTTTTCTCTTCTCTTCGCTGACTCTTCCCATCTCTGCTTTTCATCTGTCTATATTGTCGGAAGTTTGACTTCTAAACTTCCTTCGATCAGGGAAAATATATTGGCTAAAGTGGAACGATTGTCTTTTTGAAACGGACATGGACATTTCTCCGTAAAAAGAAAAACTCGGAGATATCACATCTACTTCAGGATGGTTGCATTTAGAAATGGATTTGGACCTTACTTGTGCCCCTTTCCGAAGACTTCCCAACATAGTTTCTGTGTTTAATGGTGAACGGGATGCAGTAATGGACGAGGGGTGCCATTTGGTATTCAATGTTTCGATGGGTGGGTGCAAGATTATCTATATAAATGGGGAATTTTCCATTGCCACTTTGAAAAGGAGGGTAAGTAAACACAAAAGAAGCGAGTATGCTCCTTCTGGAATCCTTTTTGCTACTCATTTCGCTGGAATCTGCCAGTCTCAAACTGGGACCTTGTGGCAACTGAGATTTTTGGCAGCAATCTCACCAGACAGAAAGGCGTAATTGGAAAGGATCACCCATGGAAAAGATCCCAATCCACATACAAAGGCCTCCTCAGTTCAAAATTGCTTTGCAAAACCATCCAAGTTCATAGGGATCTATCCACGATACACCAACGTACAGTTGTTTTCTTAAAGTAGTTATAGTAGTCATAATAAATCGGAGAAAAACTACATCCACTAAGTTATAGTGGTTATAATAGTCACATTTAATCCCCGAAACAGCCCATGCACCACATTTCTGGCAGCCATAACAACCATACAAAATCCCAAAAAACACACTAGTTATAGTAGTAAAAAAAAGGCAATTGACCTATAATTCTAGTAGGTAAAGCCAACCAAACTTGATCCATTTCTCCTTCTCATAGTTTTCTACCAATCTTCCTTAAACCCCCTGGAGGACAAAGTGATGATTCTGAAGTCTATGTTTTTCCAACGTTTGAAGAACTCCTGCGCCATCTTCCAAGAAGAGGGTCCACAGTGGATGATGGAAGAAGGCGCAAAGAGAACCGTGGGAACCGTGGGAACCGTGGGAACCTGTGAGTTTGTCTGAAAATAGGAAATGCCCAAAATATCCCAAGGGATCCCAAGGGTATATTAATTATTATTGGTCTTATGAACTATTTGGGGGAATACACCATTTTTTAGACACAGCCATATCTGTCTATAAGTGATTATCTATAGTGTGATGATGTTAGATATAGTGATTAAGTATGTTTTCTATCTATAGATGGAAGCTTCCAAAGTCATGGTGATACCCCAAATCATCCAAGTCATTAGACCATGACTTAATATTGAAACCCATGATGACTTGGGGATTGCGCATTTTAAGAAACCGACATAAGGAGTATTAAAAATAAACAACAGATAGAAAAGTGCAAATTCCACCAAAACAAGTGGTAGATTGCTTTTCGACATCTTTTTGGAAAGTTGCTATAGCCGATTTTCAGACCCAAGTTTCTCAGTCGTAGAATTATCGGATGAAACTGGGGGAGGTTGAAACGATCATTTTTGAGCACCTGTACAGCTAGGAAAGCATCGATCCCATACATTAGATCCAAGGTGAGGTGCATCTCGCGTTGCCCCGGAGGTTGTGATCCAAATGTGGAAAACTTGGTGACGGCGATTTTGTGGTTTCTGGCGGAAAATGGTGATTCTGGCTTGAAGATATCATGTCAAAATGAGTCGGAATGATTCAAAAGGGGGAAAGCCACCACATTTCAGATCGGATTTGGGGGTGGCCGGGGTGACCTTTTTTTGGACAAGTCCTTATTCAAGCATGGCGATCTTGGGGCAAATAGCGCTGATCATCAGTACCCATCATCGCTAAGCTTATGACCCCGTGTAGAACAGAGAAAGTGGATTTAGCAAAAAAATAAAAACAAAAAAAAAACAAAAACACAATCAAAAACCGAAACACCAAAAAAATAACTCGACAGGAAGAGTCACCAGAAAAATCAAGAAAAAAACATGAAAAAAACAAGAAAAAACAAACAACACAAACACATAAAAAACATCAAAACCTGCATTTTTCTATTTTTTTTGTTTTTCTTTGTTTCTGTTGTCGGCGTGTTGTTTCTTTTTCTTGTTTTTTCCTTGGTTTTGGTTTTCTAGTTTGTTTTTTTCTTGTTTGCTCTGGTTTTGTTTTTTGTTTGTTTTTTTTGTTATATATATATATATTTGTCAAACCTATTTTCTCTGTGTTTACTGGACTCATAACGCTAAGCCCTGTCCTGTGTTAATCCCAAATATGTCACATGGCACCATAGTGTCGGATCATATGTCGGGTAAATGTGTCAGAACATAAGTCTCATCCAATGTAAGAATCTTAATATGTATACCAGACAACATGTCAGAAGATTGTTGCCCTTGAAATGCAAGAAGCTGTCAGACAAAGTGTTGGAATATATGGCAGTCGATCTAAAGGTCCTTGTAAGAAGTTTTAATTGCGAAAGCCGTGCGTGTTATGTTGGAAACCCTCGCAATTTTTTCGAGTTTGCGAAAGACAAACATTTTTATTCGCGGGGTCTTGAAGCACATCCTTGCACCTGCCGCTGGTACTGCCTAACGTTGCTTTCTGAAGTCTCAAGAAACAAACTCCAAATGCAACAGCCAAGCTTCCAAAAGTGAGGCGAGAGCCAAACACCAAGGCCCGTGGTGTTTGCCGAACCCTGCTGATGGCTGGGGTCTGCGGATAGGGGTATTTCGCGAAAGTTCCGCGAAAGAGTTGGCGAAAGTCAAAGTGCATTTTGAAGCGCGTGGCCCAGTAAAGAAATTGCCTAATCAGTAACAACTTGTTCTGAGAAGGGGAATCCGTGATGCTAGCTGCATGTTTACAAGGCTATGAAGAAGTTATCCGTGATAATTTTGTGTGATTTGGCAGGTGATGAACGAATCTTCATACGAGGAGTTGTTGCTTAACATGGGTTCCGCGAAAGATAAACATGGAGTTCGCGAAAGATCCGCCAAAAAAAAATACTCGCGAAGAATGGCCATTCCCGGATAAAGGAATTGTGGTCAACCATCATATGTCAGATAAGCAAGACTAGGCAGAGGTATTTTGAAGGTAGAGTGAACCTGTCAGAACCCACTGAATTTCATACATAGATACACATGTCAGCACTATATATATATATATGCCAGAATAGGCCGCACTGAAAACGTCAGAACATGTGCGAGGTAGAAATGCAAGAATATATTGCAGATCACATGAATCACATTTTTTTGCAACATATCACTGGTTATTGTCTGAATATGTGGTCCCTAGAATAAGCTGCAGATGTCAGAATTTATGGCAAGTGAAATGTTGGAATATATTTCAGAACATGTCCCAAATAACATGGCAGAATTTATGGCAAACGAGATATCATCATGTCTGCACTGTCTGCAAGGATAATGAGATATAGAGCATATCCAGAGAACAAGTCAGAACACATGTCACATGAAGTGTTATCAGATCATAAAATGCAAGAATATTGTCGTAGTTAAACGTGTCAGTTCTATCTAAGATTATGTCAAAATATGTTTTCCCGTGGAAATGTCAGCAAATATGTCAGCAGATCTGTTGGGGTATGTCAAAGCAAAAACCAGTCAATATATCAAGTGTACATGCCAGTACATGTGCGTTTTTTTTTTTTGGGTGGTGATGCCTCGAAGTAAAGAACTGAAACTTGACTCACATTGGGGCCATCCAATTTTTGAAGGATTTTTTTGCCATCGAAATTGTGTTCCTGTTCCCTGTGACAGCTTGCCAGTAGAGACTCTGATCGTGGTGGGGCTACTTGCCTCATCTTTCCCCTACGATTTCGGACTTGCGAAACGAATTGGGAGTCTCCACACATTTTCCATTCTTTCAAAAACTATAATATATATATAGTATATATATAGTATATGCATAGTATATATATATAGTATATATATAGTATATGTATAGTATATATATATAGTATAAATATATAGTATATATATAGTACATATATAGTATATATAGTATATATATAGTATATATATATATAGTATATATATAGTATATATATAGTATATATATATAGTATATATATAGTATATATATAGTATATATATAGTATATATATAGTATATATATATAGTATATATATAGTATATATATAGTATATATATAGTATATATATAGTATATATAGAGTATATATATAGTATATATATAGTAGTATATGTATAGTATATATATATAGTATATATATAGTATATACATACTATTTAAATAGCATATGTATATATATATACTATATAAATACTATATATATACTATATATATATACTATATATATATATACAATATATATATACTATATAAAAATACTATATATATACTATATATTTACTATATATATAGTATATATATACTATATATATATATCAGTAATATATCAGTAGATCATTCCATCATCTCATCATATCATCTAAGAATCTAAGATCCCAGGTTGTACAGCCCCATGAAGCTGCAGAAGGACTGTTTGGTGACCCAACGACCTGCCTGCCAGTTTCATCGGCTGGATTCATTTTGGCGCCACGAGGATAAGGGCTACGTCTTCAATTCCTTGACAAGGTGGGATTTTGAGAGAAAAAGATGGAAAAAGTGTGCCGATGGAGGTTCCAATCTTTTTCCTTGGCCAGAAAAGATATGATAAAATCCTCGTTGAATTCAAGACTCCTAGTAGTCCTATAGTGTTCCGTCCCAAGAAAAGAAGCAGGACATTTGCAGGAAATTCGCTTTTCATTCCCACATGTAGGGGCGATGTTTCCCTTGAGCCAAGTCAAACGATGAAAAAAAATGGTCAGCTGAGGCCGGAGGCCTTCTTTGAGCAGCAACACCCTGCTGACCTCATGCCAGACAAGACCCGGTTGCCGGAGTGGAGCATGGCAGTCCTTGAGAACCCGCAGGGGGACCCCTTCGAACTGGAAAACCATGACGTTGAGGACATGGCATCGGCTTCAGTGCCGAAGAAGACGCTGGTGTTACAAATTCATGAAGAAGGCAAGTCGAACAGGAAGCGTCAGACCTTGCGGGGCTGGCCGGTGTTGTATGAGGATGAATGGGAAAACATCGAAAAAATGCTGAAACTTGGCACGTACGCGGCATCAAATGAGATTGCCTTCTTTCGAATGGGGGCTCTGGTGGAAGAGCCGCAGAATCAAGATGTCGCGAAGCTTGATGCAGACGCTTTGCAGAATTTGATTCATGAAGAGCACGGTCGCGCTGAAGAATCAGGGAAACTATCGGCACCTCGGCTTCGCTGGAACCAGGGCGATTCATGATAGGTCAATCAGGTTCCCTTGGAGGTACCACTCCGCAAGTCACCACAGCTAGCTGTGTCAGTGACGAAGGGTCACCAGTTCATCGCTAGCGGTTTAAGATGGTTTAAGTAGATTAGGGTGACAGTCAGCAAGTGTGTGAAACACCGTTTTTTGGGAGGTTTTGTGGTTCAGGACTGCATAAAATGGACGGGTGAAATGCTGTGTTGCATGTTTTGTGGCGCGGTCGCCATGGGAGGAACAAGCGAAGGTCTGTGTTTCCAGGTGTGCGGGCATGAGGAAAGCTGTGAGAAAATGCACAACAGACTGCAGTGAGCACTCGGCTTTACCAAAACATCCACAAACACCTCACTGCGACAGCAGTTTTGAGGTTGGGAAAATGAACACAAGACTGGAGGGAGCTCGACTTTACCAAAGACTGTACAAATCACTGCAATCCGAGAAATGAGCGCGAGACTGAAGGAGAGCTGGATTTTTTTCCATGGACAGCGCACAGTGAGATGCGCGGAATGATGTGGCGCGATCTTGGATTGATGACACCAGCATTACTAAGCTGCAGTGTTAGAGCTTTGCCAATGTGGCTTGAGACAAGTGGGAAAAGAACGGAAAAGAGGTGTCCTGAAGAACATGTGAGAGGTAGTTCAGAGCCGAGCGAAGAGGTAGCTTGAAGAAATTGCGCAGAGAAGAGCTCGGAAATTTAGCCCAGAGAAGAAATCAGAGAAGAGTTGTTGGAGAGAAATTGTTTAGAGAAAAGGAGCCTCATTCACTAGTCATTCGCTGCAATGTTTTTGCCAACGGACTCGTTACCGTCGCACAAATCCACATCCGGTAGGCTGGGGTGGGGTGGGGTGGGGTGGGGTGGGGTGGGATAATAACGTCATTGGCATTTCCACATGATCTTGATGCTACGCTCTATGATCTTCATTGGCATTTCCACATGAACCTGATGCTACGCTCTCTGATCTTCAATTGCAATTCCACACATCCGCATCCGATAGTCTGGGGTGGGGTGGGGTGGGGTGGGATAATAACGTCATTGGCATTTCCACATGATCTTGATGCTACGCTCTATGATCTTCAATTGCATTTCCACATGAACCTGATGCTACGCTCTCTGATCTTCAATTGCAATTCCACACATCCGCATCCGATAGTCTGGGGTGGGGTGGGGTGGGGTGGGATAATAACGTCATTGGCATTTCCACATGATCTTGATGCTACGCTCTATGATCTTCATTTGCATTTCCACATGAACCTGATGCTACGCTCTCTGATCTTCAATTGCAATTCCACACATCCGCATCCGATAGTCTGGGGTGGGGTGGGGTGGGGTGGGGTGGGATAATAACGTCATTGGCATTTCCACATGATCTTGATGCTACGCTCTATGATCTTCAATTGCAATTCCACATGAACCTGATGCTACGCGCTATGATCTTCATTGTCATTTCCACATAATCTTGATGCTACGCTCTATGATCTTCAATTGCGATTCCACATGAACCTGATGCTACGCTCTCTGATCTTCATTGGCAATTCCACATGATCTTGATGCTACGCTCTATGATCTTCAATTGCAATTCCACTAAACAGATGCGGTGCTAAACAGATGCGGTGCCACGCTGGGGTTCTATCGTTCCTATGGTCTTTGTGTTATGAACACGTTAACGTTCTTTTCCTTCATATTTTCGGATCCTTCAGAATGGGCTTCTCTTCGTGTTAGATGGATAGGTTCGGGATGTCTTGTGTTGGATTGGGAAATGTTTGCAATCCTCAAATATGGAAATGCATGCGCTCTTTCCAGTGGCGGTGGGAGTGCGCAGGGAAAAACCTGATGGAAGCCACCGCTGACATGTTGAAGAAAATGTGAGAAAAAGTTGCGGTTGCCCTTTTTGAGGCTGAAGTCATGGAAGGGTTGTCATTCCCAAAGTAGATGGACCTTTTTTTGGAGAGGTTTTGAATGCAAAAACTGGCTCCCCGCTGTGAGGACGCAGTAATTTTGATCATTTTCGTACGCCGGTAACGCTTCCGGCGGGATGTTTTTGTTGTGGCTTCAACTGTTCAATGCCTTGCGGCTGCTGGAAATAACTTTCGTGGGGTCTGAACTTGTGTCGCATTAGCTAGCGTTGGCCATGACCCATAGAAAGTCAGAATTCAGGTGTTTGTAGGTCATAGTATGGTCATACAGTAGTTTATCTGCTGATCCATTCAGCAAGCGCTTCAGCTGTTGGCTGGTTGCAATGCTTGGAATGGCTAAAAAATAAGGTGGTAAACCCAACAATAAACCATCCCCAAGTACCATTGTTTTCATGGTTGCTATAAACGCGCCTCTCACGGTATGGGATTTCCCACGTTTTTTTTGTTTTAACAGTGTTTCCCCTCAACACGATCTGGTTGGTGGTTTGGCGCATTTTTTGTTTTTCCATAGGGAAGAATCATCCCAACTGATTTTCATATTTTTCAGAGGGATAGGTCAACCACCAGGAAAAATAATCTCTCCAGGCCACTGTGGACGTCAATATCACCAAGATCACCCCCGAACTGCACATCCCTGAGCTTTCATTTCTCGCGCCAATGCGGAGCGAAAGCATGGGTGAACTCAGGAGCACCGTGATTTTTCACCACGTTTCGGGGGTGACATGCTGACATGCCCCGTGGATCCCCGTGAAAAATGGGGAAAAAAAATGGTTTCTGATGGGATGATCAGATTCAGGGCAAAAAAACAGCAGCTTGTCAGCTATTTTGATACGTAGTTTGAAGGCTCGATTTGAATCGATTTAACCATTTGAAAAAAGAACTAGCCGCAACTTGTTTTCGCAATTGGCATTTCCGTGGAAATCTTTCCTGTGAGAATTGCAGGAAAAGACTGGCTGCCAAGTTCGGAATTGGCAAGAGCCGCTTGCTCCTTTCTCAGGGAAAGGATGGACGAAATCTGCTCGAAGATGATGTGCAACTTGAAAGCCTACTGGAGGATGAGCTGAAACTTGCGACAGCTGGGAACATCTCCAAGATCAAGATCGAGATTAACTACCTCAAAGGCTTCGATCATCCCCACATCATGAAGATCTTGGAGGACATCGTTTTTGATCCAAATTGGGGATTTCCCACGACGTCATTCAATATGTCAAAATAGCATCTGCCAATTAGGTCTAACTACCATAGTTTTTTTGATGAACATCCGTTTCAAGATGTTTCAAGTATGTTTATGAGACGTCCCTTCTCCCGAAGTATCAAACATCCATAAATATCCCCGAATCGAAATCCTGGCGGACTGTTTTGAATCTATTTTGATCTTATGTGATCTTGTTGGATATTACTTGTGATATATCCGATTATATCTCATTACATTTTATTAATCTTATTTTATATCTTACGATTATATTTCTACTGTGTTCTATTACATATTATTGTGTCATATGATATTCTATATATCGGATTATCTATTAGTCTACCTGTTATATCCTAGTATATCTTATGATATGTTCTTATCTCTCGTTGTCATTCCCATGATAAATCGTCTATACCGAAAGTTTTCGGGACCCAGCCATCTCATTCTTGCTGAGTCGCTTCTATCAGCCATGGCAATCTCACCTCAATTGCAGGAAACCACAATACTTGGAGTTAAAACATGGTCTCCAGTAGATTTTCCAAATAGAATCATTCCACCAAAACGCAAATGCTAGTGTATGGCCAGTTAGAATAACAATCGATAGCCAATAGCCTTTGATAATTCACTAGAAACTCCATATTTTAGCGAATCTAGTGTGGTCCACCTATTTTAGCGAACTGTTATGTAGCCATGATGTCCTGGGCGTTTGTCCAACTGGGGCATCCATCACAAGATCCCATGAAAATTAAAAGCCATGGAAAAATCCATATCCCATCCTTTTGATATACCCATTGGCACCATCACAATATCCCATCCTTATCATCCTTTGGGTGTTTTCTCACGAAACTTCGTTTAAGCAAACTTCCGAGTTTTCACATCATGTAAACCACAGCATGTCAACAACTGGAGGCTCAACAGTGGATCACAGCAACATTTTGCAGTTGGGTGAGAGGGTCTGTGCGAAACCAGCGGGTGCCAGCCTCGATCTGACATGAAGTCCAAACAATTCACCAGACTGTAGCGAGACCTCGATTTGCCAAAAAGTTAAGCAATTGAGGGATTTCATTTCATTTTCATATTCATTTTCGTTTTCATGTTGATTTTCATTTCATCGTTTTCCATTCAATTCCATTCCATTCCACTCCACTCAGTTCAATTCCATTCCATGCCATTCCATTTCGTTCATGTCAGCATCTTTTTTAATTTCATTCATTATTTCGTTCATTTATTATTTCGTTCCTTCGTTCGTTCCTTCGTTTGTTCACGGATTCCTTGATTCATTGATTAATTGATTGATTGATTGATTCATTGGTTGATTGGTTGATTGATTGATTGGTTGATTGTCTGATTCGTTCGTTCGTTCGTTCGTTCATTCGTTCGTTCATTCGTGCGCAGATGATCTCACTTGTGTGTACATGTGATCGTGGGCTCGCTGGTGTGTACATGTGATCCTCAGCTGCGTGCGCAGGTGATCTTAAGGGCTTCAAACGGGCTCTGTGTGTACATGTGATCTGAATTTGCGTGCGCGGATGATCCCTTGACCCGCGGCCTTTGGACTTTGGACGCTCCCAACATGCCCAAGTCTTGTGAATGATCCGAACATGCAGGAAATGGATCGCTCCAGAGCTCTTGTTTTTCAACTTGTCCTCGATCTACAGACAGCTCGAGAAGAACAACTTGCAGAAATCACTCGGATTTCCAAGGAGCTTGGAAGCTTTGAGCCTTTTGGATCCTTTTGGTATCCCTTTGGTTCTGAATTATCCGCTTATGGCTGATCTTCCGTAAGAATTGTCCTTTTGTCCGAATGCCCGCTCAGACTCATGCACCTCAGCCCAGACGGAATCAATTCTCAAAGGCTGACCGACTGATTTGTTCTACCTTGTGATGCTCATGGTTCGTTTCACTTTTGCAGGAAGTGATCGTGGGGGCAATGTACAGAGGTGCATGCCCTCACACTGGCTTCAAAGCTGGAGGAAACGAGATGGCACAACTGTCCGTGGCTGAGAAAGGAGTGGCGACAACGTCAGAGAAATACACGATTGCCCACAGCAGAGGACAGTCAGACTGTTTCCAGTGTGACATCAGAACACTGACATATATAGCTGTCAGTTGTTCTATGGCACTTTTTTGGGAGAGTCCAAATCCCAAAACATACATATACAATGACAACATCAATAGCGGCTCAGTCACATTGCTTTGCAGGTCGTTTATTGTAGATGCATGATCGTACAATATCATACATGTGCGCCCAACATGCAGGAGTTGTACCGCTCGAAAACCTTAGCGAGGGTCTCAAGAAAGCTCAAGAAGAACAGCTTGCCGAAATCATTCGGATTTCTCAGGAGCTTGAAAGTTTTTGAGCCTTCTGGTATCCCTTTGGTTCTGTACTATCGGTTGGCTGATCATGTACGAACACTCCTTATTTTTCTGAACTCCCACTCAGACTCTTGCATCTCAGTCCAGACAGAATTATGTTGCACTTCTGGAGGTTGCAAAGCTCGAGCGACTCTTCCTCAACGCCATACAGCAAAGATCTACAAAGTGAGATTTTGTGTTTGCTGCATGAAGCTTCCGCCGATGGGCGTGTGGCCGACCGTTCTGGTCGTACAACTCTCCATGCACCTTCAGCTTATGATGAAGCGGATCAGTGGCTTCGAAAAGCCTGTTGGTTGAAAATCAAGATCGTTCATTCATTCATTGCTTCATTGGTTCATTGATTGATTGATTCATTCATTGATTGATTGATTCATTCATTCATTTATTTATTCATTCATTCATTTAGTTATTTATTTGTTTATTCCTTCATTCATTCGTTCGTTCCTTCGTTCCTTCGTTCGTTCGTTCGTTTGTTTGTTCATTCCCTTCATTCGTTCATTCGTTTGTTCATTCATTCGTTCGTTCATTCATTCATTCGTTCGTTCATTCGTTCGTTCGTTCGCTCGTTCATTTTCTTTCATTCTTTCATTCATTCTTTCATTCACTCATTCACTCGTTCACTCGTTCATTCGTTCATTCGTTCATTCGTTCATTCGTTCATTCGTTCATTCGTTCATTCGTTCGTTCGTTCGTTCGTTCATTCATTCATTCATTCATTCATGCATGCATGCATGCATGCATTCATGCATTCATGCATGCATTCATGCATTCATGCATTCATGCATTCACGCATTCATGCATTCATGCATTCATGCATTCATGCATGCATGCATGCATTCCTTCCTTCCTTCCTTCCTTCCTTCGTTCGTTCGTTCGTTCCTTCGTTCGTTCGTTCGTTTGTTCATTCGTTCATCGTTCATCGTTCATCCGTTCATCCGTTCATTCGTTCATTCGTTCATTCGTTCATTCGTTCATTCGTTCATTCGTTCATTCGTTCATTCGTTCATTCGTTCATTCGTTCATTCGTTCATTCGTTCATTCATTCGTTCATTCGTTCATTCGTTCGTTCATTGGTTCATTCGTTCGTTCGTTCCTTCATTCATTCATTCATTCATTCATTCAGTCATTCTTTCACTCATTCATTCACTCATTCACTCATTCACTCATTCACTCATTCACTCATTCACTTATTCACTCATTCATTGATTCCTTTCTTCCTTCGTTGTTTCTTTGGCATTTCAGAAAGCATTTGCTTATTCATTGATGCACCTCAAAACCTCAATCTTTCATTTTTCAGTCCTATAGGGCATTGATTTTCTATGGTCATTGTTCTCTGTCGAAGCGTTCATGACTAGAACTCTACATAGATATTAAAACCCTTTTACAATCCCATAGAAAACCAATTGAACATCCTGCTGCTCTGCTAAACCTAATTTGTTATGGTTATGATATCCCAAGTCATCCCCAATGGTGGAATATCCCATTAATTGCCATTAACAATGTATCCATTACCGAGCCCTACTACACCGCATCAAACCAAGTCAACATCCCCGTGAAATCCTATAGAAACCCATATAATTTCGAAGATCCTCTTACAGTCCCCAAAAAACCATATTAAATCCTTTTAAACCCCATTTAAAATGGCCATATATCCCCAGGCAAAACATGTCCAGGAGGACTTTGTCGTCCACGGCCCTTTACCGCACTGGCGCTTTTCCACCGCCACTCTTCGGGGCCCTGTGCACCGTGCTGCTGCGGCACGCGCGGCGCTCATCGATGTGGCCTCGGGACTGCGACATTTGCATCAGAATGGCTGGGGGCACATGGCTCCTTGGAGAAAAATTGGGGTTTGTAGTGAACAAAAATATGTTTTTCCTCTAGTTTAACCACTAATAAATTGTTTTTAATGGGATTTGACCATCAAAAATAGGATATTAATGGGATTAAGAATAGGATTCAAATGGGATTTAACCAACAAAACATGAATTCAATGCAATTTAACAAACAATTAGTGAGAATTAGCCAGCAAAATTGGGAAATTTAACCACCAAAAACGGAGACTTAATCAGCTTAACCAGCAAACATCACCAACATAAATTGGGATCGAAACCAATAATTGTCGGCAGGAGATATTGGGGATGGAATAATAACCAATGATTTGCTGAGTCGTTGATATTTTTTTACTCTTTATTGCCCACGGATCAGCACATCCAAGGATGTGCAGCCATGCAACCTGCAGATCGCTGGCCAGGTGGGAATGTTTTCAAGCGGCAGGGTTCTGAAAGCTCAGAAGGTAAAGAGAGTTTTGGGACATTTACTTTTAGAACATGTATGAAGCCCACATTTTTTTTGGCCCAATATGGACTGAAACCCAAGTGGGTAATCTCAGTTCTAGGGACGAATCTATCAATCTATCAATCTATCATCATCAGTCCATGAATCCATCAATGTATCAATCTATCTATCTCAGTATCTATCTGTCTGTCAATCATTTGATCTATCCGATGATATATTTATCTATGTGTCGATCTATTTACTGTATCCATGTATATATTTATCTACCCTATTCTTTCCCTATTCTATCTTGTTCTATCGTGTCATTCTATCCTATTCTACCCTATTCTATCTTGTCCTGTCTTGTCCTATATATATACATATATATATATCTCTCTCTCTCTCTCTCTCCCTCCCTCCCTCCCTCTCTTTCTGTATCTACCTTGTTATCACCTTATTTTTCTACCCTTCTCTATCTAGTCTACAAGTGTACTAATCTACTAATCTTCTAATCTACTAGTCCACTTACTAATCTGCTAAGCTGCTTATCTACTCTTCTAGTAATCTAGCCATCGATCTATTTACCTACCTACCTACCTATCTATCTATCTGCCTATCTCTATCTGAATCTCCATCCCCATCTCCATCTCCATCTCTGTCTATCTATCTATCTATCAATCTGTCAATCTATCAAAGTATCGATTTCTCAATCAATCTATCGATCGATCGATCTATCTATCTATCTATCTATTTCATCTATCCATGTATCCATCTATCTATCTATCGATCTATCTATCTATCCATCCATCCATCCATCCATCGATCGATCATCTATTTATCTATCTATCTAATCTAATCCAATCTAATCTATAATCTAATCTAATCTAATCTAATGTATCTATATCTATATCTATATCTATATCTATCTATCTATCTATCTATATCTATCTATATCTATCTCTATCTATCTAAATCTATCTATATATATCTATATCTATCTATGTATATATATATCTATCTATCTCTATCTACATCTATTTATATTTATCTATCTCTATCTATATCTACCTATCTATATCTATCTATATCTATCTATATCCATATCTATCTATATCTATCTATATCTATCTTTATCTATATCTATCTATATCTATCTATATCTATCTATATCTATTTATCTCATCTAAAGCTATCTATATCTATTCACATCTATTCATATCTAATCATCTCTATCCATTTCTATCCATATCTATCTAGATCTATCTATATATATATATATCTATCTAAATCTATCTATAGCTATCTATACCTACCTAGATCTATCTATATCTACTTATATCTATCTATATCTATTTCTATCTATCTCTATCTATCTGTATGTATCTATATCTATCTAAATCTGTATCTATCTGTTTCTATCTGTATCCATCTGTATCTATCTATCTATATATCTATCTCTCTCTCTCTCTCTCTCCATATCTCTCTACATCTCTCCATATCTCTCTACATCTCTCTATATATCTCTCTATATCTTTCTATATCTCTTTATACCTCTCTATATCTCTCTCTCTCTATATATATATATATATATGTATCTCTCTCTCCCTATATCTATATATATATTTATACATATATATATATATATCTCTCTCTCTTTATATCTGTATATCTCTCTATATCCCTTTTTTATATATCTATGTATACATCTATCTATCTATAAATCTATTTATCTATAAATCTATCTATCTATAAATCTATCTATCTATTTCATCTATCCATGTATCCATCTATCTATCTATCTATCGATCGATCGATCTATCTATCTATCTATCTAATCTATCTATCCATCTATCCATCTATCCATATATCTATCTATCTGTCTGTCTATCTATCTATCTATCTATCTATTTTATCTATCCATGTTTCCATGTATCCATCTATCTATCGATCGATCGATCTATCTATCTATGTATCTATCTATCTATCTATCTATTTCATCTATCCATGTATCCATCTATCTATCTATTTCATCTATCCATGTATCCATCTATCTATCTATCTATCTATCGATCGATCTATCTATCTATCTATCTATCTATCTATCTATCTATCTATCTATCTATCTATCTATCTATCTATCTATCTATCTATCTATCTATCTATCTATCTATCTATCTATCTAATCTATCTATCCATCTATCCATCTATCCATATATCTATCTATCTGTCTGTCTATCTATCTATCTATCTATATGTTTAAATCTATTTATCCATCAATCTATGAATCAATCAATCAATCAACCCATCAATCTATGGATCGATATATATATATATATATCAATCTATCAATATATCAATCTAGCAGTCCTTAGATCTTTCAATCCATCTATCTATCCATCGATCAATCGTTCAATATTTCAATCTTTCAACCTATCAATCTACCAACCTATCATTTAACCAATGAATCAATGAATCAATGAATGAATGAATGCATGAATGAATGAATGAATCAATGAATCAATCAATTCGCCTGCCTGTCCATACATTGATCCATCCATCCAATCTATCCAATCCGTCGAATCTACGCTATCTGCCCTACCTCTCTATTTATCTGATCTCTTATTGCAACGTGTGCTACATTTCTTCATTCTGTACTAAGTATCCATAAGTCCATGTTGGGTCTCTACATCTATGTCCAACGATCTCAAAATGAGTCAAGGAACTGTACCCATCCACCTCAGAAGAAATCAACCACCTTTTCGCTGGAGGTGAAAAAGGATACGCCTGAGTCAGTGGACTTGAAGTTGTGCTTGGTGGATGCTGGCAGTGCAGGGTTGTTGGGAAGCGAATTGAGAACTTGGAGCTCCAGACTTTTGGATTGACGTTTTTCAGCTCTGGACCTGGGTTTGTCTGAACATGGGGGATGAATGCTTTGGACCTCCAAAAATATCCCAATTCGTGGGGGAACATGATGATCAACTACTGGATGGAACCGGGTGCCATATTTTCAGACAAATTTGCGCCGCTGATTTGAGTGATTTTCACATGGGTGATTTCACCAGACATGAGCAATACGCCCGCGGTAACAAGGCAATTGAAAATCCACCATTTATAGATGATCTCCCCAGCTAGAATCCTCCATTTATAAGGATTTTCCCATATTTTCCTGTGATTTCCCAAGGTTTTTTCCCATATTTTCCAATTTTTTAACGTGGCGGATTTTTGCCCAGCCACGTTTGATGAGGGTCAATTTGTCGCAGATCCAAGGATATGCCTTATCGCAGGTGAGAAGTGGCGACACGAAAACCATGACGCCTTGGATTTGCCATTTTTTTTGGGTTTCACAGTGGCAACAATCCACTAGGATTGGGGAATCTACTGGGGATACTTTAGCATTTTGGGTAAACCCTACTGGGATCTTCTATTTTTATTTTTTGGGAAAAAACCTACTGGGTAGACTACCGTTTTTTTGGAGGGTAAAACATGGCGCCAAGGAAAAAGGCTCTTGACTGGTTTGCTCTTGGAATGACCGTGAAGGATTTGGCTGAAGGACTTTGGCCCCAAGTCACAGTTGGAGAAGAGACACCTTTGACCTTGGTGGAAGCGAGCGAAAAAACCCAGCTGCACGAGGCGGCAACAGATCGAATTCAAGATTTTCCGAAAAGTTCACCACAGCTGTAATTCTTAAAGTTCATCTCGTTTTGTTTCCAAGGTGAAGCAAACAACCTGGTAAGCATCACAGCACAGTATCGCAGGCGGCTTCAGCAGCTTCAGATTCGACGTCGACTTTCTCCCTGGTGGCGTTCCCGCAAGGATCCGTAGAGCGGTTGAGTGAGGTCGACAGTTTTCTGGTCGACGATGCAGAGCGGAAACTGCAGCCTGGTCTTCAGCTGGAGAACTTTGACACAGTGGTGGACCACGATATCAACGCAAGGAGGACAAAAACTGAAGGGATTCACAATTGTTTCGGGGTGAACTGCAAGTTTTTGGTCATTTTTAGTAACCATCCAAGTTTAAGGGTGCCCAATTTTGACCCATACCCGCGCAGGGAGAGCGTCTTGAAGAAAGTGCGTGAGAATGGGCGGATCTTGGAATCTGTGCCCTCGGTTTTCAAAAGCATGCAGGATGTGGTGATGGCAGCCGTGCAGCAGAATCTGGGGCCGGTGATTTTGCCAATCTTTTGGGATGAATCCCACCGTAGACAATTTCCTTTGATGAATAGTTTGGGGTTTCTGAGGACAAGTAAACCAACCAGTGATGTCGACCGAGCACTTGGGCCCGGTGGCTTTGGGCCCGGTGGTTTTGGAAGCCTCGAAATGCACCAACTGAAACCAATACTGGATGGCTGATCAACCGCTAGGCAACCCCTTTTGTTAACAAATAGATCATCCTGATTGAACAATCATTGAGCAACCAATATGTATATATATATAATAGATATAGATTGTAGATCATTGTTTTACCACTCGTTCAGGAACCAACGCAATTTCAAGGGAGTTCAATCACACTTTCAATTTGCAAATTATTGGGATCTCAACCCAAAAGTTGACAGACTCAATTTTACCTCCAACGTTTCCATCCGTGTCACGTGGTGGGTTCCCTATTCTTGGTGTCCAACTCAGCACCCTGAAACAACGGGGTAAAAATTTAGGATGGTACCAACTCCGTTTTGAGCAAACCTAGGAACCAACCTTCCGCCCGTTTATGGGATCCATGAGCGAATGAACTGAGCCCAGGACTGGTTGGGCGCTGCAGTTTGCCGATGACGAGCATCGCGGAAATCGCGACATCGTCTTGGCAGCAGTGCGCCGCGACGGGCAAGCCCTAGAGTTTGCATCCTCGCAGCTGCAAAAAGAGACTTGACCTGAAGAAAATGGATGATGGTGTAATGTGGTAAACCCTTATCACATTCCCCTTCTTATTAGTGGGTAATATAACAATAATATGTCATTTTTGGGGAATGTAACAACTCCCAACCATAAAACACCTCCTGGGTCTGCGGCTGTTTTTATGGGCTGTATCCGCGGAGAATGGCCATTTTTGATCGGGTAAAATTTCATGATAAACCAGGGGATTTGGAATAGGGGAAAACTCCTCCAAGAGTCATTTCATCCAATACTTTTTTATGGTACCCCCCCAATTATCTAGCATACAATGGGCATTTCATCATTTAATATGCGAACACTTGGCAGTTGAATCTGCAATTATTTGGGATTTGGCATGCTTTTTTTGAAGGTTTTGCCTGCAAATTGGGTTATATTTGCGACAAATATGGACTTGTGAATTTTACTTGCAAAAAGGAGGATTTAACCTGCAGCCAAATGGCTATTCGACTTGCAAAAACATCGGATTCTAAGCTGCAAAATCAGGATTTGGCCTGCAAAAATGAGATCTTAATCTGCAATGAGGATTTTGAGAATTACCGTTCGAAAGGTGCATAGTTCGCTTTCAAAACTGCGGGAGGTCACCTGCAAAAATATATGGAACCCTGGGGATTTAACCTTCAAACAGAACATTTGACACATTATATATATATATATATTATATTACACATACATGATTGATGGTTTGGCTTGCACATGTGGATGGAGTCTATTTGGAAACCAGAATTTGGCTTGCAAACACATGCAAAGAAGAGGGATTAAAACTTCAGGAATTGGGATTCAACATGCAAAACAACTGAAGAATCAGGATTTTGAGTGCAAAACGTGAGCATGCAACCCTGCAAAACCGAGGATGTGTTGCACACATATATTTTAATCCGCAATCATGAGGATTTTGCATGCACAAAATGTGAAAGCCTGCAAACATGTGGATGTTGTTTCACATGCAAAAGCTGGGATCTGATCTGCACACATTTTCGGATTCTACCTTGCGAACAGGAGGTCTTCAAGAGATTCCTTGGAATCCTATCTCACAGTTTGATCCTGACACCCACTTTTTGGAAAGGTGGTTTCAGAATTGTCTTCCAAGTGAGAAAAGGTTATAATTTTGGATGGTTTTTTCCATGTTTTTCCAACCTCTGAGGATCCAGAGGTAGTACTGGAAGCTGTGAAGAACAGCGGCTGGGCCCTGGAGTTTGCCTCGGACTCCCTGCGCAACGCTCCCGCGGTGGTGGCCGAGGCGGTTCGCTTCAACCCCTGGGCTCTGGAGTTGGCTGAAAAGTTGCAGCAGAACTACGTCCTGACCTGGGACAAGCAACCAACAAAGGGGGTGGAGAGTAAGCTTCCCCTGACCTGGGCTGCATTGAAGCTGTGAGTCAGAAAACTCAGCATAAAACTCATAAAACCTCCAAAAGTGTGGGGTGTTGAAGAGGCTGCGAGAGAGCTCTGTCTTATCAGAGATTTAGGAATCAACTTCAGGTTCGACATTTTGGGAAAAAAACATCAAATAGATCTTTCCATTGATTTGAATTTCCATCATTTGGATTCATTTGGGGACTATCAACTTAAAATTTGTAGAACAACCATCAATCAAATATGATATTAATTTATACCCACAGAAATAATCAAATATTATATGAGTTTTATGACCACTTCGTCGCCAATCTTACCCCACAGTTCCCAGTGATCTCCTGGCATTGCGCCGAGTTAGTGCAGCTGATGGACTAGTCATAGCGAGCTGCGAAAAAGTGCCGCGCCAGGGTGCAGTGTGTGAAGTGGAACAGATGGGCCAGTCAGATGGGGATAACATCTATATATAATATATGTATTGTTATATATATATATATACACATACATATACATATATACATATGTATATATATATAATGGGGAAAACTGGACAGATCAGTTCATCTATGTTCATCTGGTTTTTACCGGTCTGATGGCAGATTTCCTTGATCGAATCAATCCGTTGCGAAGGCGAAAACTGTGTTGGTTATGACCCAGCAGCAACCGCAGTTTTGAGTTATTTTTAGTACTGAAATTTGCTGAGTGATCATAGTGTCCCTGCGTAACTCCACCAAAAGGACGAAGTTGAGTTAACCGCGCGTAGCTGGCTCAAAAGGTCAGTTTTCAGGCACTAGCACCATTGGTTTCGGAGCAGGAAACAATGACTGATTTGGGGCCGCCCAAGCGTAGTCAATGTGGAGCAGATCATCTCAAACCTCAAAATCTGAAGCTGGCTATCCAAGTTCTTCCCCAACATGGTTTCCTCCAGGGTAAAAAGTGACAAGTCTGTTGTCTTGCCAGGTCATCAAGCCCAATGATCGTAGTTTGTTTGATACCCATGTCTATCGATTCCGCATTGTTGACAAAACTGACATTTTTTTAAAAGTACACGCCTTCATTGTTTTAGCATCGTTTGACACAACATGGCCAGTTTTTGATTGTTAAAACATCCATATGGCATGTCAACCAATGGGGTATACCCCAAAATGAACATGATGAAAGACCATGGGATTTCAAGGATTTTCCCATAATTTCTCAGGTACCACACCGGCTTCATCCATTTGATGCTTCGGATTTTCATGAAAACCAGACGGGGCTATTGGGGATAGCCCATGACGAGAGGCCCACAGAAAAACCACCATCCCCCCGGCCCCATCCCTATGCAGCCCTGCGCGCGCACAAGTTTCGGGCTTTTGGGACCTGCTGCGCCTGCTGCGCCTGCGCTGTGTGCGAAGAAAGGTCCGAGACAAGGTTGGGCCGAAATTGGCGGCAAAACTGCAGTTCAGGCTGGTGATATCAATCTTATCTGCGTTTTTTGGGCAATGGATGGATGTTAACCCACATGCTTAGCATCAACAAACTGTCTATGAACCTGGGTTTGTTGAATCGGTGACTTTTCTAAAAGGTTTTCCCAATGGTAAATCCACCGTAAATCCACCGTAAATGGGGAATCTGCGAGGAACAAGTTTCAATTGGAAACTGATCTTCCATCTTCCTATTTGGCAGGGTCCAATTTAATATGGGGGATGGTAAGATGTAATTTATCAACAATAATGGAGATTATCAGTGGGAAATCTGGGTGAATTATTCGCCGCATTACTGGCGCCACACGACATGATGGTTGGCCAAAGTTCAGCGAGTTTTTTGAAATGCCATCCGGTAGTCAAACGTGGCAATGGAAATTACCTTATAAAAGGAGGTTTCTAGATGGGAAAATCACATTTAGGGTGAATTTTCCATTGCCATGTTTTGTACCGGAGGGTAACTCAGTCAACTATTCCGTATCTATCCTTATTTGGTAGATCCACAAGTCAGCCACGCCTCATTCGGGGCTCTATGAAGCGGGACTTACAACATTGGTCTACCATAGCACGAATCAACAGCACATATCAACAACAATCGGGATATAACTATAACTATAATCAATATTGCAAAATAATGTAACGTGAGTAAAGCAATAGTAAACCATGCGCTTTTTTTCTCCATACATGGGTGGGAATTCAACCATCAATCCATACCGGTGGTTGATGACATTGCTTTACTAACATTAAAACACAGCTACTTCGTGGTTCAAACATCAACCTTACTTGGGATGATGATCCCGACAAAAGTGGGCTTCAAATTAACCATAATGGATGCATAGATCACCAAGAATGGATCTATTCCAGCAACACTTGCTACATCGGGCTTCCACAATAAAGGGAACATCCGGGCAACATCTAGTGGCTAACAACCACTGATTGCGGATGCGAAAGTGCAATTTAACTGCATCCGAGTTGATTGGGAGTAGCATGAGCGGCAATCATGCAGACTTTGATACGTGTGTATACAAAATGACCCAAGATGTGGTACAACAAGAGGTACAAGAACAAGTCATATAAAGTCATAGAAATATGGGGGTTTCCAAATTTTTGGGGCTACCCCCTGTTATCATCCCAGATGTAAACCATCCAGCTGAGACACTCCCCTTAATGGTGATTTTCATTGTGAAACTGATAAACTGCGTGGGGATTTGGGTTTGAATATTGAGACAACCCCGAATGCATCCTGCCATTTCAGTCAAAAAAAGGGTGACGTAGGTGGATACTGCACAGCCGCCAGGGGACCGCTGCCTGAGCCACTCCTGTCCCAGGCGTCTGGCTGTCCCTCCTAGTGATACCTATGATGTACCCTAAGTGGGGGGAGATCTAAGATGTGGCTACTTAGGACTTCGTTTCGGCCTCTGGAAACTATTCGTCTGGGATCTTTGTTCAAGCTTGATCAGCCACCTGTTGCTTCGCCATTCGTAATCTGTGGCCGTAGTGCCCAAGGCCCGGGCGTTTTGCATCCCAACGAAGCGGTGGCAATGCCGCTGCAAGCGCTTGTTCAGATTATACTTCCAGCTCCAGATGACGAGATGGAGGCGAGTCGTTGGGTCGTTGGGTCGTTGGGTCGTTGGGTCGTTGGGTCGTTGGGTCCTTGGTCCGAAAAACAACTGGGCGAGATTTCGCATGCAAAGGATAGGTCCCTCGGCAGAGAAATGAAGAGTTCAAGCGTAGATTCTTTTTTCGATGGTTCATATATGTCATATGATGATTCAGGAGGAACGGTGCCCTTGAATAGAACAGTCTTGACCCTCTGATCCCATTTTAGATATCTAAAATTATCCTCTTAGCACTTAGCAGGTTCCTGTTGTTGAAAGGTTCAGGCCATTTTTTCTGATCAGCTTTTGCATTCATATGTGTGAATGATTGTGAATGAAACCAGTTCGACCCTTCAACCAGCACGATTAAACCAAGAAAGGAACTCATTCAAAAGACACATATAGATATTATATACAATATATATATATATATACACATGATACTACCAGATAAGAACAAACACGTTGGGAGTTCACCAGGTTGACATCGGGAACTTACCAGAAATGAGGCCAGCAAAAAATTGCGACCCATGGCGTGAAAAATCCCTCATGCGGTGATTCCAAGAAAAACAACTTCTGTATAGCTGATTTATCATAGCGCAGTTGGTTTACAAGTTAGCTTAGATGGATTTATGGTTGATATACTGTGTGTCTTGGATGGGTAAACCAAAACCAAGTTACAACTGAGAGGTATACAGGTAATCACGCGTGACAGACATGGATTTGTTTGGTAGTTTTAAGGTGGTCATTTTCCACCCCTGGTATTATGATCCTCATTGAGCTCTATACTTTTTGGGTCCGAGATGTTTGTTGATCAACGAGCTACACATTTACCATTAATTCTGGTTGGCTATAATATTGATTTTGTTCGTTACTTTCATGGAATTGGTTGGCGAGACATTTTAAAAAACATGCCTACGTTGTGTGGGAAGATAACACCATTTTTATTATATATAACATCATATCACTATAGACTATAGACTATATATATAGAGCGTCAAAAAGTCCAGCAATTTTTCCCAGCTGGGTAAATTTATCAACACTTACTAAAGATGCCCAACGGTGGGTAAATGCAACATGGAGTGAGGACATGTTTTTGTCTAATGATGATGTATGATGGGTTGATATCAAGCGCAGTGGTGAAATGTACTGGTAAATGATTGAGGGTAGTAATGGTAGATATCAACCAAGCTATCTATTTATGGACATTCATTGGAGTTGATATTTACTGGTAGAGGTAGTCACACTGGGAAAAGGCACTGTGGATTTGTCTGAGAATAGGGTAGCCAAATGGAGCACACCATGAACAAATCCAGTGGTTGGTTCTCATTTTTTCCATGGACATATCTTCAGGGTGTGTTGATCATTTTTGGATTGTTGTATGTCATGTGTTCCCCCTAGGAGTTTTGGTGAGTCTTGTTGACCCTGACCCCAGTGTTAATTCACCATTCGCCAAGCCCTTGAATGTGGATTTTTACTGCCAGGAGCTCGCTGCCACTTTGAATAGTTGGCCGGACGACGTCACACCAGAGTGGCCTGAAATCCAAAAACAACTGGAGGATGTGAAGCAGAAACATCAACGGCCAGACTACGTCTTCAGGTATCTCTTGCCAAACGATGATGAAAAAAAACTCTATGATTTGAATGATGAAATCAACTTTGACGATTTGGTTCGCACCTATGACGAGAACAAGAAACCGGACTGGGAGCCTCCTTTGGTTCTGCCTTTGGTTCTTGCCGCTCCATCTCAAACGACCTGGGATCCTGCAGAGGAGTTGCCAGAGATGCAGTTGACGGTCAGGAATACCTTCCTAGAGTTTGGCCAAGCGCAGAGACTGCAGGATATTCTTAAAAAGAATGTCACTTCGCATATTTGAGGCGACTGGTTGGCTTGTTTTGAAAAAACTCCAGCCTCACCAAATGGTGACCCTAGCGGCTTTTTGCACATAGAAATCCAACTGCACATTCAAAGGCAGTGGCTGGGTAGGGTAGATGATAGATCTGCGTTGCCCAGAAAAGAAGGGAGCGCCAAACTGTTGCCTTGACATCAAGAGTGGGATGCGTGCATACAGATGGTCCATGTTGGGTAAGTCTTCTGGTTTTAGGGTTGTTTAGGGTCCAAAATTTGGATCGACATCGACATTGGGCTTCAACCATCGGGGCCACTGCTCCAACGGGTGGTCAAAATTTTTGTACCGCGGTGCATATCAAAACAGACAGTAAACGGACTGACTATCATCCCTTCCAACGTGCTACTATGGTTTTTGCAAATCTTGCGGTCTGAATGACTTTCTAATCTTGACACCTCCGGACGGGACGTACTCCTATCTGGCAGGTGGTGGACAAACCGGACACCTCATCGAATCAATTTTTTTGACGTGCACATTTTCAGGCGGCAAACATGAAAACTGCTAGCTGCTATGGCGTCTTTGTGGAGGGACGGACTGGAGATTTTGTCATACGGTTGTTGATCACCAGGGTATTTTTTATTGGGGTGAAAAACCATTCAAATTCCATGATGGCTTAACCAGCAAAAATTGAGGCTTTGACCATCAAATGATGGGGTTCCAAGTCCCAGAATGGAATGGTATGACCATGAAACATGGGGTTCAAGATGGTTTAACCATCCTGAAATGAGGGATATATAGCCTTAGCCAATATCAGTACAAAGTATAATCATATTCTATAAACACCCCACAACTGGGCCCCCAACTCTTCTGAATATATTCAATATGATCTAATACGTTCCATCATTGTGCTAAATTTGCGGGGCATTTCATATGGGCGATAGGATCAAAATGGAATGTGACGGAAAGAACTTGCTAGTCATTTGGGAATTTCGCATGCTGATTCTGCCGCCGTTCTTCAGTTCTGCCCCAGCAATTCCAGTAGGGCGGGATTTCCAATGTGTGAAGAGACAGCCATGGAAACGATTCTGCGCATAAGCTTTCCAGATGGCCGGAAGGAGGAGGACTTTTTGTCGGCAGTCATAACCATTTGAAAGTGAGGCTAGAAAAACCAGGTTAGATGAAACAACCAAAATATTTGATGGGAAAATGCAGGAAAACCATAGGAAAACCATCTCGATTTCTCTAAAAAGATTTACCCTCTGGTTATTTGTTACATAGCGACATAGAAAATGGCCCAGTCAAAATAGTGGATTTACCCATTAAAAAATGGTGGATCTTTCCATAGTTTTTTGTATGTTTACCAGAGGATAACGCTCGGTGTTTTTCCGTCACCAGATTGCCTCTGGGCTTTTTTTGGAAGCCCCGATCATCCCATGTCTGAATCTGTCCAGGGTAACAGGTGTTTAACCGACAAAAAAGCGACTTATCCAATAAAAGCCAGGAGACACATCAATAGGTGAATAAATATGTAGATATGCAATGATATAAATAACATAAATAGCAATTCAATAACTATATCAACTATATTCAACTACCAGTAGTACCGCACAAGGCGGTGGCGGAAGTTTCAAAAATAGGAAACCTATAGGAGAGACTGGTTGTTGTGAATCAGGGATGGCAAAGCGAATCCACTGATGGACCGAAAGGTGCTTGAGTTCTCCTCTCTTTCTCTCTCTTTCTCTGACTATCTACCTACCTATCTATCTTCTATGTATCTATCTATCTATCTATCGATCGATCTATCTATCGATCTATCTATCCATCTATCTATCTATCTATCTATCTCTCTCTCTCTCTATCTCTCTATTATCTATCTATCTATCTATCTCTCTCTCTCTCTCTTTCATCTAACTACCTATCTATCTATCTATCTATCTATCTATCTCCCTACCTACCTATCTATCTATCTCTCTCTCTCTCTCTTTCATCTGTCTATCTGTCTAGCTGTCTACCTGTCTATCTGTCTATGTATCTATCTGTCTATCTGTCTACCTGTCTATCTGTGGTGCAGTGTCATTCAGTGTAATCTAGTGTAGTGTAATGTAGTGTAGTGGAGTGTAGTGGAATGTAGTGTAGTGTAGTGTAATGTAGTGTAGTGTAGTGTAATTAAGTGTAGTGGAGTGTAGTGGAGTGTAGTTGTGTAGTCGTAGTTATAGTTGTAGTGTAGTGGAGTGTGGTGTAATGTAGTGTAGTGTAGCGTAATTTAGTGTA